CGGTGCAGCTTCTCTGGCCATCGGTATTATTATTCATACTTTCTTCTATTATTTACAGCTTTTTTTCGGTCTTGAGATATTGTTCTTCAGTTGCCCGATTTTTCGAGGCTTGTTAACGCGAAACTTTCCTTTAATTTCTTAAGAGGAAGAGTCGAGTTTCGCTCGCGAACGAATTCATATTTCGATGTTTAAAAACCTTGTAAGATCAAATTCGAAACGGTGAAAATGTCTGTCGTATTATTTTGGGATTATTGAAACGATTAACTCTCGAACGGCGAACTATTTTTACAACTGCACTGTTCACGATGATTGCAACAATTTCGAGCTTTGTTCAGCAATTTTTCCAGACATATTTTTGAAGATATTTCTTGTAGATTCATTAGCCTGTTTGTTGGTCCTAATGCGAAAGCAATTTATTTTATTTAATTGTCGAGGGTTGAGTCGAATAAGTGAACGATTCGAACACTGTGGACAACAATTGACCCAGGCACCGCTTTGCGAGGATAAAGAAAAGAGATCAACGCGTAACTAGCTCTCGTACGTCGTATCAAATGCAGACAATTTTTATCGTTGCATGAAAATCCGCGGTTCCCTCGCTATACCGGACACTTCGCATATTCTCCATATTTTTCGCGCATAAATGGCACACGCGTACTGCATATTTATCGCGCACAAGCATTCGCGGTCCGATAATAAGCGTCGAATTAGTACAATAGAAACTATAGTTCGCAAGTAATGGTCGCATCTGGTCAAATTGGTCCGCGTGGTGCCGGGAGATTGATGATATGAATTATTCGAGGCACTTTTCTCTTCCGCAGAGACACGCTGTCCGAAACAAAATTATACTCTGAGAACAATTACGCTTCAAGCGTCGACGTTCATGCAAATTCTCGTCACTTATAGAGCAGTTCCGAGAGAGAGAGAAAGAGAGGGAGAGCAGAGCGTGGTCCCGTGTATCTATTCTGGAAACGCAAGTTTCGCGTAAAAATAATCAAAGCCATTTGTACGATCGCGAGATATTTCATTCTATTATGTTCCGCGCGATATGAAATATAAATAAGTCCGATTTCGGGTATTCTAGTCCCGGAGGCATTGTTTTCAGAGCAAATCTATCAAATCCGCGCGGTTGTTAATATTTCTTTGTCAGCACGAACAAAGCTGCCAGCTTTATTTCAGCGGCGCTCGTTTATTCCTTCGCAAACTCGACTCGCGAGATCTTGACAAATTTTTGTTAGAATTTATATTAGAATTTATTAGAATAGGTTTTATTAAAATTCAAGGTTGACATTTTTAATTATAGGAAGGAAGCTTGCCTCTGTGTCGAAAAATGTATGCTTGCCAAAATTAATTCATACGTTTTTCTTATGCAATCTAGTGAGTATAACTGCATTCAGTGGCATTATCACTGGAATTATCATCTTTGCACTATCAGTGGCATTGTTATACTTTCACAGCTAATTTGCACAATTCTTAATTATCACAATTTCAAAGATAATAGATTCACGCTGCTTGGCTTCCGAGTTCGATGAAATCATGAATCCGTACACAAACGTCACCTTTCGTAAATCATTTCATAAAATTTTCAATTTCTAAATCAGCAAGAATTCCTGTCAGTGCGAATTTTCTAGCGTTACACATTTCCAAACGGAATTTTACAACGGAACGAAGGATCGTTTCGACGTTGAAAAGCGACGTTCCGGAGAACCGGAACTCGTTTCGCGAACCCGCGATTTCTAATCGAAGTTCCATTCGGCGTGCGAACGGAGCAAAAATACAAGATGGCTCCGAGATTCGGCTCGGACGTAAACGGATGAAAGAACGATATCCGGTGGCGACGGGTCGACGTCGGGTGCCAGACGGCATATCGTTGGGTTCGCAAGATCCCCGGATGACGTTTCGGTTCACGCAATATCCGTCATTTGAACCGGCAGCGGCGCTCGGGGCCGGGTCGCAAAACAAATCTTCCCTCTCGAAACGAGCGACGCGACGGCTGTGTTGCTTTCGGGGCCACCTGGTAATTACGTCTCAACACCTGACAGTTATTACGGCCCTGTCCCGACGCCGTGCCACGGCACCACCTCCTGCCAGCCCGTTGCCGTATTAACGAGCCACATTAACCATCGAATGAACCGCGAGAGCCCCGACTTGATAATTAGTCGAGCGTCGAGTTTTCTCCCGCGTTTTCAAAGATGAATTAGGCGAGACGTCGACCGTCGACCGAACCGAAATTCGGAGGTCCCCCATTATTGCTCGATGAACTATGTTCTTAACGAAGTCGCTGGCTGCGTCGGCTGCGAGACTTTCTGTGCGATCAATAATTACGAACGACGCGTGAAGAACGTGCTGCTCGCTTCAGATTCTTCAACCCTTGTGCGAAATTTGTGCGGCGTCGCGCGTACGCAAGTGGATTGATTTGACCCAGTGTTACTTTTATCGCTGTTTATTTCGCATGTTTTAGACTTTCTTTGCGGAACGTACAGATTGTTTGCGTCTGTTGCAAAAAAAGTATGAATAGTAAAATAGTGAAATAGTAAAATAGTAAAATAGTAAGATAGTAAAATAGTGAAATAGAAAAGTAGCAAAATAGTAAAATAGTAAAATAGTAAAATAGTAAAATAGTAAAATGGTAAAATAGTAAAATAGTAAAATAGTAAAATAATAAAATAATAAAATAGCAAAATAGCAAAATAGCAAAATAGTACAATAGTACAACAGTAAAATAGCAACATAGCAAAATAGCAAAATAGCAAAATAGCAAAACAGCAAAATAGTAAAGTAGCAAAGTAGCAAAGTAGCAAAGTTGCAAAGTAGCAAAATAGCAAGATAGCAAGATAGCAAGATAGCAAGATAGCAAGATAGCAAGATAGCAACATAACAAAGTAGCAAAGCAGCAAAGTAGCAAAATAGCAAAATAGCAAAATACCAAAATACCAGAATAGTAAAATAGTAAAATAGCAAAATACCAAAATAGTAAAATTCCTTCCTTAACAATTTTAGTAGATCGAAAGCAATATATTCACATTATCGAATGTTCTTAATCTTCGTTCGACATTGCAAATACTCATTTTTGCCACACGTATAAAATCCGCAGGCCAATCGTCGTGTTTATTGATTTTGAATGATCAAATGTTAATATTGAACCACCACGGCGCGCCGCCGTGAAAGAGACGGCGGAGCTGCAAAGTGGGTGTAATTAATTTATTCAGACCGGGAGAATAATGAGGATGCATGGTTGAACTTCCTTCGGAAGGAGAGCAGACGACGATCGATCGTTTCTGGTTCGCACGGTTGCCTTTCTGGTTAGATATTTGAATTTTTTTAAATCTCCGAACTTGTTGAATTTATTTACCCTAAAGTCGAGTCTTCGCAGTGTCGGAAACTATTTAAAAATAGTTATCGCGAACTAACTGTTAACCATAATTAATCTGCAAAAGTCTCCTTTGTTCTTCTACGTTTTACTTTCACCCTTCGTATTTTGCTTTTCTTTCAATTTTCTTCTTTTCGCTTCCAATTTTTTTGCCTTCATTTCTTCTGCTGCCTTTTGTTTTCTCCTTTCTGCTATTAATTTCATTTGCATCGCACTCTCGTTTTCACTGATTATATCCACTAGTAACAATAATAGTTTGAAGTTTCGTTGATCGCTAGGAATCATAGCCAACTTGAAAGAATAAAAAATACGAGTAATAATATCGATGTCCAGAAAAAAGGTGCACCGTCCGCAATCCACGTTCCACCTACGCTTTTCCTTAATTTCGTACAGTTCAATTATCGGGGCTCACATTCGAGCCCCGAATTCGGCCGAAAACTCCTTCGAAAATTCATCGGGCCGTGTTAAAAAACGGCGAACAGAAATCGCATCAGCGTCCCCACGTACACAATCCCGACGAGCATTGTTAAAATCATTCCGAAATCCGTTTCCATTAAATCCTTATTAATTTTAAACAAGCCCCCATCGGCGGCGTAACGCGAGAACGCGCGCACAGATATGAATAAATAAATATTAACCAACAACGATCCGCACGCGCCGCCGCCATATTTCTTAGTTTTGAAATTCCCTTGTTCGCCGCCCGTGTACACCGGATCCCCAATTAGTTTCTCCATTACCATTGCTGTCCATTGTTCCCGGTTAACAGCGCATCTGGGAGCAAACACGCATTTGCGCCCGGCTCCTCCGGTTACCATTATCAGGCCGCGATAATGCGAGTCGACAATAACCAACCATTGTCAATTGTTCGCTTTTTGGAAAAAATCGCGACAGCTTAAGCTGCCTTTTTGTTGGATCTTGTTACCGCAGGACCGAAAACTTTTGCGAGGACGCGTTCATACTTGAAACGCGGTGTCCATTTTGAGGCAACGCGATTTAAGAAATGTTTATCTAACGAACAATGTATAATATAATATAATATAATATAATATATAATATATAAAAGAACAAATACAGCGACAGCATAAGGCAGATGTTTTACTTCGTATCAAAAATTAAAATAAAGACAGAAATATTCGTGACAATTGTAGAAAATATATTCTCGACACGCTTGTAGCAAAAAAGAATGTAAAACTTGATCTGCTTAATGCAATGATGCATAAATAAATTTTTCTTCTTCTATGCATTTTTACATACGTCTCCGTAATAATTATATTTACGCGCACGTAAAAAGTAAAATTGCATATATTATTTCATAATGAACGGAGAAATAGACCTAAGGGTTGAAATCGAGGGTTAAAAGGGCACTTGTCTGGGTTAGCCAATTATCCAATCGAGTCTGTACAACGGTTTCAAGTATTTCTGCTCGAGAAAAATCCACGAGATGCCTGAAACAGCAGCGATAACGTGTGCGAAACGTCGATGCAAAAGAGTCTCCTGATTTCTGTCGAAAAAAGAAATCCCAGGGGATGCCCGAGGAGTCGGGATAATAGCCCCTCGAAATTCAAATCGGCCGAGAAGAGGGTTCCCTGCGCAGGGTGTAGCTGGGCTAACCGGTGTTTTCCCATGGTTTCAGAGTTCTTGGCATGCGTAGGCCGGTGGAGGAACCAGGGGGTGAGCAGAACAGGACCGAGGAGCATGGCGTAGCGCTCGTTTCGGGGGTGGCTCGCAGATCAAAGGACGCGAAAGAGGGTCTGGCCGCTCTCGAGCGATTCGAGGGCCGGTGAGCATCGCGACGGGGCAAGCAACCCCGTTGCCTCGGCCAACGTCTAACAACCCTCCCGTCTGTCACCGTCGACGAACAACAGAACAGGTAGATCGACCAACCATCCCTCTCTATCTTCACGGTATTCCATCCGTAACTATCGAAAATGTTTTTACGATATAACTGCGAAAATAGCAAATCGTGCTTGATAGCCGATTATCCAATATTTTTATTTACTGTGCTAACGCGTTTTCACTTTCTTTAATATTAACACTTTAATGACCGCTCACGCACGCGTGCGATGCTTTCATAATTATGTAGGTGCTTTCTTTAATAATTATCACGGAAAGGAAAAATATTAAATTTGTTGTATTAAACGTGTTCTTATAAATATGTTTGATTATTTTATGAATTTACGTAAATATTGCCACCCCCTGGCGACGTTTGACTGCGTAGACCGTAAAGCGGTTATTAAAGCGTTAATGTAAATTTTTGTTGATAAACATGTACGTCAATATAAAGTTCATACGGAGCCGATTACTGTGGGATGACCAGTTGCTGTGTCTTTTTCCATTTACCGAATAAGACGTGCGAAATTGTTTTGTTAAAAAATAAACAAAATACAAGAAGAATGAGAAGATTGAATGTGTCTTATTCGATGAATATAAAGTTAATTATACCAAAAAACAAATGAAGGGCGCAGCAATTGGTCACTTCACAGTGACTCTACTACCCTATGTTTGAGACGTTCACCACCGCATTAGTTTCGTTCCGACGATCATCGCACGAGTAATTGTAATCAACCGCGGATCTTTGTGCATAATTAAAATTGTTTTCGTCGATTGCAAGAAGCAGAAGTCGCACAGTTATCAAGAAAATACTTCATCCATCTTTTAGCCAGGTCCCCTTTCTCTCGCCCTTTTTCTCGCTGGACGCACCAACCCCTGGTGGACACGCTGGATCAGCACGGGGATGATACCGGTGCGAGGATAATTGGGGTTGTTAACGGGAGTTATTTGGTCCGGGATTGCGGACCGTCGCGATTCGGCTGGATTGTCGTCGGTGATCCCTTTTGTACGGGATTAATGCGCGGGGGGTGAAATTGCGAGGACGAGTGTCACGGTTTAGTAGGGGGGTAAGAATTCCGGGGACGCGGAGCTGGGAATATGAAAAGGAGAATGAGTCTTTGAGGTGACTCTGGGAGCTTGAGTATTTTGGGAGTCTTCAGCTGGGAGTAGGCTCGAGAGGCTGAGGGTCTTAGTTTCGGTGACTTGGGACCCGGTGGTCGAGAAGTTCTGGAGTCTGGAAGTCTGGGGCTTGGGAGTCGAGAAGTGTAGGGTGCGAGAGTCTCGGGATCTGAGAATTTGGACTAGAAACGTGGAGGTCCACGCGTCTAGAAATCTAGAAGCCTTGGAAGTTCGGTCAACTAGAAATCTACAGGGTGTTCCATAATTATGTTAACAACACCTGGAAAGGTCATCTGAACTGACTAAAATATGGAACATAATTATAGGATATATAGGACATATGGGACACCCTGTAGAAGCCCAGAAATTTGGAAATTTAGATGTCTATAAATCTAGAGGCCTTGAAGTATCGAAGTCCGGTCATCTAGAAATCTACAGGATGTTCCATAATTATGTTAACAATACCTGGAAAGGGGCGATTCCTGAGGTCATCTGAATTGACCTAAATATGGGACATAATTATGGGATATATGGGACATATGGGATACCCTGTAGAAGCCCAGAAATTTGGAAGTTCAGATGTCTAGAAATCTAGGAGCCTGGAAGGTCGGAGGGCACAGGGTTCAAGGACCAAAGTGAATACTCGAAGGTCTGAGATTTGATAGAACAAAGAATTTATATGCCCCGAGGTCCGAGACTTTGGATATTCAAAAGTTCAGGACTCTAGAAGCCCAGAACTCTAGAGGTTCAAGAGTCTAGCAGTTTAAGAACCCCGGGGATTAAGAGTTTAGGCAACTCGGAGCCCGGAAAACTAAACGTTAAGAACCTGGGAGCCCAGAACTCTAAAAATCTATAAAACGCAATTATCTCGTAAGCTGGGCTTTGGAGAATTTCGGTGTCCCAGATGTTACGTATAAATAAAGAAGTATAGTAAATTCTGTCCAATTTTCGTTCAGCTTATAAACGAAAATGGACAATTTGGGAAGTGGAGACACGATTATTCGAAATGTATTATAATTGTTGATGATCGGCAACTATAAAAATGAGCTGCGAGGCTCGAATAATCGTATCTCCTCTTGTGCATTTTTGTGAACAATGTCAGTGTCAATTAGGGAGAGAATTTACTGTATACTATAGAAATATTATAGAAGAGAATTGACACAGATATACCAGAAATAAAAATTCTAGAAATTCGCGAAGAAGAGAATTAACACAGATCTACCAGAAATAAAAATTCTAGAAATTCGCGAAGAAGAGAATTAACACAGATTTATCAGAAATAAAAATTCTAGAAATTCGCGAAGAAGAGAATTAACACAGATCTACCAGAAATAAAAATTCTAAAAATTCGCGAAGAATACAATTAACACAGCTCTTGCATAAATAAAAATTCTAGAAACTCGCGCGAAGAAGAGAATTCACAAAGGTCCGCCGTAAATAAAAAATCCGCGTATCCGCGATCGAAATCCGAAATATAAATGTGGTTCGATGCACGATCAGGAATTAAAGCCACACTCGATTAATGCAAATAGAGGCTTAAAACAGGCGTGCAAAAAAAAGTCGTGCGTCGAGATACGGCGACGAGATAGATAGTCATCGATTGTCAGCGACTATAAAAACGAGCTATCAGACTCGAACGGTCGTATCTCCTCTTCCGAAATTGTCCACTTTTGTGCGCAATCCGAGCGTCAATTAGGAAGAATTTACCGTATCCGCAATCCGCGGCTGAATTTATTCCGTTTCCGTGAACGTATCCTGGAATTCCGTTGAACAGAGCGCGGACGCTCGTGTTTCCTAAGGATTTGAAGAATTCGCGGGTTCCGTGGCCCCATGGCGAAGGCATGCCCTCAAGTACAGGCTCCGCGGTTTCGAGAGTGAATTTCGTGGTTTAGCATGCCGACCTGACATACCGCCATAGAACGTTCGGCGACGCGGAGACCGCAATTGCGGCCGTGTCGTCCTAACACCTTCAGCAAAACCCGTGTTATGTATGCGGTAATAAGGGAACTAATGTCGCTCGGCAAAAATATCGCCGGATACGCCGTGCTCGTAGTTAGTCGCGTTCGGGGCCGTAATTAACTCGAGAAATCCGACAGCTTAACGTCTCGGATACTCGATGCCCCGCGGCGGTCCCAGCTAGTGTCAAATGAACGCATTCCTTCGGATAGTGTCAAAATGGATGCGGAACGCTGAAGGCGAATTTAGGCTTTGCGCGTTCCACGTAAATCCCGGCTGATTCATCCGCGGCGGAAAGCTAATGTTATCTAGTAATAGGATATAATATCTTAATATTTCAATATTTTAATAGTATAATACTTTAGTATATTATTTTTTTAATGATATTTCAATACTATTATATATAGTAGCATAATACTTTCGTATATTATTTTTTTAATAATAATATTTTAATATTATAATGCTTTAGTATATTATTTTTTTAATAATAATACTTCAATAGTATATAATATTTTAATTTTCTTGTTTATATCTTATTAGTATATAATATTATTTAATATTTTTATCATTTGTCTAAATATCCTTTTTATCCGACGAATTGAACATTCCAAATTCGCCTGAAATTACAGATATTTCTATTAAAATTAAACTGCGAATATTTCTGCATTTATGACATGCGCAGATCATTAAAATTCTATATTAATAACCAGTTTAAAAATTAAGCGTTACTCAAAGCTCTCGACGTATAAAGAATTATGCAAGGTATTGTTAATCGCGCGAGTTGCCGGCGGTTGGAAACTGCGATCGATGCCGGCGTGCTATCGGAAAAGAAGTTTCGAAGAGCGAGGCAACAAATTGTTTAATCCTTGGAAATTGTCATTTCTCAAGTCCGATGCGAATTTGTCATAGCACTTAAAGAAAGAAAGTAAAAGCGAAACCGCTACGCCGCGTGAAATTCGCAGTTCACGAATTGGCCGCAGATACAAATACGATATTCCCGCAGAAAATATTCCGCGAGACATACTCGAAAATTTTTAATCTGTTCGACGTCGCGGTATCAATAATTGCGGGATTTTAAATGTGGAGAATGTCCGTCTGGATGATAGATCAAGGAGCGCAACGGCCGGCTGGCAGGCAACCGCGATGCAGCTGCAGCCTTCGTACGGGCAATATTAAATGAAACGTTCGGTAATAGGGGCATTAATATGATAATTGACGGGTTATGTAAATGGCGGCGGCTCGGTCGCCGGTATAAAAATGGCGGGGTGGTTGCGGGTGGAAGAAAGGAAACCGGTGGGCACGGCTCGTGGAGATCGTTACGAAGTCGCTAATTCTCGAGTGCGGATTTCATTAAAGCAGCTCGTTTAAAATGTAATGCCCCTCGAGATCCTTGTATTACGACCGCGGAAACCACTTCTCCCCAGAAATCCGTCGGTCAATCCTCGAAACACGGTGCTCTCGTTGAAGAATTCTCGTTCAAGCCGGCGGCTTGTATACGTTTTTACTCGTAATCCTGCGCGTAAAGTGCCGCCAGGCCCGAACGAACCATCGAATCCGGCTCGAATCAAGCGAATCTCGAGACTTTCGTGTTCTCTGGACGAGGAACGCAGCGTGCAAGCTTGCTCAGCCTCGTGCCATTAGAATTTCGTCAGTGGAAAGTGCGATCGATCAGTTTTTTGGAGCGAAAACGCGTCTTCTGATTTCAGCGAATCGTTGATCAGCGAGGAATGTGATTAAATAAAATTTCTAGGTCTGCGACGAAGTGAAACGGTGAATGTTTTGAAAAAGTTAATGCTCTTTAACAAATGCTTATTTTTCTTAGGGTCGTTAGATTGTATAGTATTAATCAGTTAGCTGTGTCAGACGAGTCGGTGATTTTAGATTTAATTGATAAACTGCGGAGGAATGTCGGGCGTAAAATTAAAATGTTGCCGTTTGCAAGAAATAGAAATTGAACGAACGTGT